GGGGGGGGTAGATGACAGTTGTAAAACATGGTCTGTGGTATGGAGTGTGCGCTATGTGACTGCTAACCAGACTGGGGAAGAGTTCTGGGGAATCTCCCATGAGGAACAGGAGCCCCAACAAAGCAAACAGAAAGGTTTAGAAGGTGGAATCTTCCTTTGTTCTTGCCTTCAAATACTTTGCCCAGATGCTTTTAGTTGGGTAGCTGTCTTGGTCTGAAGCAGCAAAACAAAGTTTGAGTCCAGTGGCACCTTTAAGACCAACACAATTTTATTTAGGGTATAAGCTTATACCTTTAATAAAGTTTTGTTGGTCTTAAAGGTGCCACTGGACTCAAACTTTGTTTTGCCCAGAAGCTGTGGCCATATGCTAGGACCCAGGCTGCTCTGCGAAGGGGGCAGAAGGGAGTTAGGGGATGGGTTTGCTCTGACTGTCTTGAATTGTAAATTAAATTTATATTTTTCTCACTAGGCATGACAGCAATTTTCCATATATATGCTCTAGCTTAATCTGTACTAATAAAGTTTCTTTCCTGTTTAAGAAACTAGATTGTGATTCAGATCCTACCCACACACCTGGACTGTTCCTGTACACTAAGAACACACGTACATGGGGTGGGGACGAGGCTGAAAAAACTGCAAAACTCTGTCCTTTGTACTTACTCAGAAGCAGCCTTACCAGGGTACCCCAAGGCACTGGTTATGTCTAAACATATGTAGTATTGCACTTTCCATATGTATTATGCATACATTACCATAGTACTTCTTACGATTACCCTGTTAAATAGGCCAGAATTATGCCATAAAAATGAATGGGTGACAAGAAGAAGGGGAAATGATGGCTCATCTAAAGCAAACAATCTCATGTCTGAGCTGCAATTTGAAGTTCAGATTTCAAGCTCACAATTGTATTTATTTCATGCATTTATACCCTACATTTCAGCTGCAGCTTTCGAGGCAGCTTGCAACATACAATGGCAAAAATAAAAATACCAACCAGGAAATGGAAAACCAGTATCAATTTTTTTAGCCCAATGAAGCCATTAAAGGCCTTTGAAAATATCTCTTGTCTTTCTTTACCTGGTACCAGAAAGCTGTTAATATCAACATTAGTGGACCCAAGGCAGGGTCCACAAAGAAGGTGCTGTTAGCAAAAATACCTTTCCCTGCTGTCTGAAGAAGTGAGCAGTGACTCATGAAAGCTCATATCCTGCCACAATTTAGTCTTTAATTTAGTCTTTAAGGTACTCTTGCTCTTGTCTATTGCTACAGACAGACTAACATGGCTACTTGTCTATTTCCCTGATGGTCTCCTACTTGGGTACCCAGAGTTTATTGATCTTCCACAAAAGAGCACAATGCAGACATACTATTGTAAGTCTTTTACTTCCCTTGCTCTAGCTGTTACATTTTAATCCTGCTCGTCCATCCCAGAAGCTCAGGGTAGCATATATGAACACATGGAACTGCCTTACAGTGAGTCAGTCTGTTGGTCTTTCAAGGGCAGAATTTTTCACTCTGTCTGGCAGTGGCTCTCCAGACTCTCAGGTCGAGGTCTTTTCACATCACTTAATTCTTTTAATGGGAGTCACCACGGATAGAACCTGGGACCTTCTGTATGCAGAGCAAATGCTCTACTCCTGAGCCACTGCTGCTCCTCAGTATGGTTCTCTCCTTTATTTTAGCCTCACAGCAGCCCTGTGAAGTATTTTGGACTGAGGCCTCCTTTGATCTACTATGGCCCCGTTCCCACAGAGAAGTTGCCGCACTAAAGACTTGAATGTCAGGCGGATTTTCGGTGCGCGATCACACCGCAACATCTGGGAAGTGTAGCCAACACGTGGCATCCTGCCGAAGATGGGCAGTAAAAAAGTACCGCGAAAAGTGCACTAGTATCTGGAAAACGCGGGGCAGGGGCGGGCATCTGATCGCGGGAGCACTAGTATCCCGTGGCATCTGGCGCCTGTCCACATCCTGTCGCAAATCGAATGTTTTTTGTAAGCACATGCACACAAACATTCTTTGCCACGCTCCAGCATCACCATGTGATCATCAGCTAACAGCCTAAGCACGAAGGCTCAGGGGACCATGTGATCAGGCTACCGCACTTTGTTTTGCTCTGGAGCAAACAGCCACGCATCCCCCCCCCCACATTATCCGGCCCGTGTGACCAGGGCCTATAGCACTCTTAAGCACTGTATCACACTGACTTTCTAGTAGCATGCTATCACAGTTCCAGGAACCTCTGCCTCCCCATGCACACTCTTCTCCCCCCCCCCCCCCCGACTCAGGCCTGGACCAGGCAAGGGCTTTAACTGCCACTGCTCTGTTCTCAGGTGTTACTTGAGAGGGCCCAGGCTTCCTGAGACCTACAGGCTGCTCATTCTTTAGCCTTAGGCCTAGGATCAGGACTGCAGTTTAGACCTGGAAAAAGTGACTGTCC